AAGTGTCCCTTTATTTTTCATTTTGATGACGTCATCATCTGTCTCTTATACACATCTAGATGTGTATAAGAGACAGGTTACGCACAATCGCTGTCAACAAACATTTGGCTTGGTTTGGAATAGTCATGGTAAGCTTTTCAACGCGCTCAGTCATGCGTGACATCATCTACGCACAATTTTGCGTTTTTACATTATCGATTTTATCAGCCTAACCAATTGCCATTTCGAAATCGTATTAAGTGAGCATTAACTTCGGGCTAATGTTGAATGTGCTGTACCTTAATTTTACGTGTGCACTTCATTACGCGCAAATACGCGTGCGATAAAATTTTTAAAATGCTCAAAATCACTTTTTGACTAACTGGACATTCAGACTGTGTTCTCGGTGCATGTTCTCGGCACACATCATTTTTTGTAGACTGAATGTGTGCTAATAGAATTTATGTCGAGCACAGAATGTTCTAGCTAGAACCCAGTTGAACCACGTTCTCGGAACAAAATGTTTTCGAACTACAACTCTGGAATGAAGTCTGAACGTGTGCCGAACATAAAATGTTATAACTGGGCGGGCTTCAGTGACGTGACCTGACCTGCTTTGACATTCTTCCGAGGCGCAATGTACACATGTTAGGGCAAATATAAAAATTAATTAGATTATCACTCCCGCAAGCGTAAAAAAAAGTTTGGGAAGAAGGGAGATAGAAGCACAAAATACCAAAGGATCTGGGAATAAGCAACTTTTCCAAAAGGTATCCGACAATCTTGGGATTTCCACGAAGACCCTGGGATCGTATAAGAGACAAATGTAATAAAATGGAAATAAAGTTAGGCCTACAGTGACTCTGAGCTCCTCTCAAAATGTTACACATGCATAAATGCCAAGAACATGGTTTTATAATCTGAATGATCGTATTTCAAAAACTTTTTCGTTCGGTGTGGTATGTGAACATGTGCCGAGAACTTAATGTTACGAAAACATTTTATGCCGAGTACATAATCTGAATGCGCCCTAAATTACAGCATGTTTCTGGCCATTTTGAGCATTTCGAAATTTTTTTGAAATTTTCCACTACTCGCACTAGACATTATGTTTTTTCACATAGTTTGGGTTCCTGACAATGTTTTCACAAATTTCCATTCTTTTTGGTCATCTTATGGTCAATAGCAATGCTGTACGTGCGCATCAAATATAGGTATCTTTGCGCGGATTTGTGCTGATATACAGTGAAAATATGCTAAAATCAAGCCTATTTCTAATCAGTTGTAGCTCCTTAGGATGAAAGGTGACCCCCAATTTTTATTACATATTCTGGAAGCACATAAGTTGTAAATATGATTTTATAGATCATAATGGCTGATCGGACATTGTAACGTCGTCATATTGGCATCTGCATTCAAAGAAAGTGAATTATAGCTATGACGTCATTTTTAAAAATACGCATTTGAGCGTATCTCGCTTATCCTTGATCGATCGTCTTCCAACTTATGTTATATTGAGACAATTCTCTTTCATATATTTGACATCTTTATACATTTTGATGACGTCATCATGGTCAAAAAATTGTTTTTTTCTGACCCCTCCACATCTTTCTTTCCTCAAAATGTTGATGAGCCCATATCATCTTAACCATTCGTCATTTCTGAATCAGATTAAGTGAGCATAATCTTCAGGTCAAGGTTGAATGTCAGGTACCTTAATTTTCCGTTCGTGCGACTTAACGTGCGCGTACACGTGCGTCAACTATTATGTATACTTAAAATTATGCCTACTTTTAATCAGTTATAGCTCCTAAGGATGAAAGGTAACCCCTAATTTTTATTACATATTCTGAAAGCACATGAATTGTAGATATGATTTTATAGATCATTATGGCTGATCGGACATTGTGACGTCATCATATTGTTATCTGAATTCAAAAAAACTGAAATTTTATTAATGACTTTGAGTATGTTATAGCTGAGACAATTCTCTTTCATAAGTGTCCCTTTATTTTTCATTTTGATGACGTCATCATGGTAAAAAAGAATGCTTTTTTGGAGCCTTTTCATCTTTCTTTCTTAAAAGATGTAAATAATTATAAAATTGAGGGCGGCAGACTATTTCGACGCTATCAGACCGATAGTTCGTATACTGTAAAGGAAAAATTCGTGTTGCATTACCAAAAAATTATACAGTAGGTTTAGAAATCCAAAATAGATAAAATTGTGAAATATTAATTAATTGATCTTCTTTAAACTGGGTAACATTAACAAGTACAGTGGAAATTTACTGTTTGCCAACAGAGCCCTGTTCAGCCTTTGCTTTATAAACTAGGTCTAATAATGAGGCGTAAGGAAGTAAGTTGTTAGTAGTGAGAAAAAAATCCTACACGATTGACAGGAATTGAACCAAAGACCCTGGTTTTGGAAAGCAAGCCAAGACATTAAACTTCAAAACCTGTTGAAGAAAGGGTTTCAATACATTTGAATTGGCTGAAAAGTCAAGACTATAAATCAAATCAGTATTTAATCTGCTCCATACCATTCTCTGTCAGGAATCCTTTAGATGCCACTGAAAGGGGCATCTGGCCACCAAACACCATTAGAGCAAGCTGAACAGTGTATATACCAAGATCTAACAAAGCACCACCTCCAAGATCTGGGGAGAGACAAAATGTGTTTTTATATATAAAATACACAATATGGTACACCTATAGGGAGTGACACTTTCATTATAATATGAATGTGTGTAAAAATATGTCTTTGAGGTAAAAAAAAAAAAAAAAACCACCTCAAAAACCATATATTCACACATGGTGTACAAAAGGTTTTATGATTTTGTTACTGATACTTGCCATGCAAACCTTCAAGAAATATAGTATTGCAGCTCACTATCTCATCTCACAAACCTGTTTGGTGATGTATTTTTTATTGTCTTTATTGCGGGATTTGGAATTTCAATTAGTTAAAAAAACGCCAAGGTTAACCCATAAATGCTAAAAGACACTTTCTATCGGAGCGAGTTGAGCACTACACGGACACAATAGAGACCAACCACACTTAATACTTACATCAGCTCAGGGCGGGGAGGCCCATTCCTGCCACTGAAGCCCATTCCTGCCAGCCAAATGAAGCTGAAGAACCACCCCACTATATGCAGCATATGCTACCATCTACCACTTTTCATTTATGAAGATGTTAAGACAACAGCTATTACCTTTTTTTGCTAACCTCTCATTAGTTATCAAAGGATATCCAAACGACACCATTACACATTTGATATCACCAATTCTTCCAGAAGAAATAACTTCTCGTACTTTAGCATACACCGGAAAGAATCTGCTCCACACTCCCTGAAAAACATTTTTGGAGGCTAACATAATTATCAGGGGATACCCATTCATAATAAAATATGATAAACTAATAAATGTCATGTTTCAGCAAAACACAAGACAAATGAGAGAGACATAGTTTCGTTATCCAATATAACATAATTTCATAAAATTTCACAAACCATGCAATACGGTAATATTTCACTATTAAATATTTTGACCTTTTGCACATGAACCCAAGGCCACTTTTTGTTTACACTATGTACTGTGCCAGTGATTTTTCGATGGGGATCCAAAGTCCCCGACAGAGTCTACCCCTACTGTAACATTGCATGGCATAATAGATTATAAAATAAAATCGATAGGGCTAGCATAGTGGCGGCTCTAGGATAAGATGTCCAATTGGGGGGGAAGGCCCTAATTATTTATGGGTGTAACTATAGTGCACAGCGTTATCTGAAGGCCAAAGGCCCGAGCTGGGGGTGGGTATGGGAGGGGATGGGGGAAGTCCCCTCCTCCCAAAACGAGATTTTTTTTCGAAAATTAGGACTTCCAGATGGACTTCAATGGTCGATTCACCATTGTTATGTTCTGCTTGACAGATGAAGCGATTGCTGAGACAGATTTGGCTTGGCGTAGGCAGTACAGTATTGGAATAGGAAAAGTTGGCCTTTTTTGGTGATCCGCTACACTAGCAGATCACCTCTTGTTATTGTCAGGAGCATCATCATCATCTTTTTTTTCTTATTCTTTCTTTCTCCCCTTTTCTGTTTGCATGATATCTCAAAAAATGCCACGAGTTACGCACAATCGCTGTCAACAAACATTTGGCTTGGTTTGGAATAGTCATGGTAAGCTTTTCAACGCGCTCAGTCATGCGTGACATCATCTACGCACAATTTTGCGTTTTTACATTATCGATTTTATCAGCCTAACCAATTGCCATTTCGAAATCGTATTAAGTGAGCATTAACTTCGGGCTAATGTTGAATGTGCTGTACCTTAATTTTACGTGTGCACTTCATTACGCGCAAATACGCGTGCGATAAAAATTTTAAAATGCTCAAAATCACTTTTTGACTAACTGGGCATTCAGACTGTGTTCTCGGTGCATGTTCTCGGCACACATCATTTTTTGTAGACTGAATGTGTGCTAATAGAATTTATGTCGAGCACAGAATGTTCTAGCTAGAACCCAGTTGAACCACGTTCTCGGAACAAAATGTTTTCGAAATACAACTCTGGAATGAAGTCTGAACGTGTGCCGAACATAAATTGTTATAACTGGGCGGGCTTCAGTGACGTGACCTGACCTGCTTTGACATTCTTCCGAGGCGCAATGTACACATGTCAGGGCAAATATAAAAATTTATTAGATTATCACTCCCGCAAGCGTAAAAAAAGTTTGGGAAGAAGGGAGATAGAAGCACAAAATACCAAAGGATCTGGGAATAAGCAACTTTTCCAAAAGGTATCCGACAATCTTGGGATTTCCACGAAGACCCTGGGATCGTATAAGAGACAAATTTAATAAAATGGAAATAAAGTTAGGCCTACAGTGACTCTGAGCTCCTCTCAAAATGTTACACATGCATAAATGCTAAGAACATGGTTTTATAATCTGAATGATCGTATTTCAAAAACTTTTTCGTTCGGTGTGGTATGTGAACATGTGCCGAGAACTTAATGGTACGAAAACATTTTATGCCGAGTATATAATCTGAATGCGCCCTAAATTAGAGCATGTTTCTGGCCATTTTGAGCATTTCGAAATTTTTTGAAATTTTCCACTACTCGCACTAGACATTATGTTTTTTCACATAGTTTGGGTTCCTGACAATGTTTTCACAAATTTCCATTCTTTTTGGTCATCTTATGGCCAATAGCAATGCCGTACGTGCGCATCAAATATAGGTATCTTTGCGCGGATTTGTGCCGATATACAGTGAAAATATGCTAAAATCAAGCCTATTTCTAATCAGTTGTAGCTCCTTAGGATGAAAGGTGACCCCCAATTTTTATTACATATTCTGGAAGCACATAAGTTGTAAATATGATTTTATAGATCATAATGGCTGATCGGACATTGTAACGTCGTCATATTGGCATCTGAATTCAAAGAAAGTGAATTATAGCTATGACGTCATTTTTAAAAATACGCATTTGAGCGTATCTCGCTTATCCTTGATCGATCATC